ACGCTCTGATGCTCATGTTATAAGATTACCTGAGCTGCACGCAATGTTCCGTCGAAGTCGACGAACTTAATCTCTTACTACGCTCTGATGCTCATGTTATAAGATTACCTGAGCTGCACGCAATGTTCCGTCGAAGTCGACGAACTTAATCTCTTACTACGCTCTGATGCTCATGTTATAAGATTACCTGAGCTGCACGCAATGTTCCGTCGAAGTCGACGAACTTAATCTCTTACTACGCTCTGATGCTCATGTTATAAGATTACCTGAGCTGCACGCAATGTTCCGTCGAAGTCGACGAACTTAATCTCTTACTACGCTCTGATGCTCATGTTATAAGATTACCTGAGCTGCACGCAATGTTCCGTCGAAGTCGACGAACTTAATCTCTTACTACGCTCTGATGCTCATGTTATAAGATTACCTGAGCTGCACGCAATGTTCCGTCGAAGTCGACGAACTTAATCTCTTACTACGCTCTGATGCTCATGTTATAAGATTACCTGAGCTGCACGCAATGTTCCGTCGAAGTCGACGAACTTAATCTCTTACTACGCTCTGATGCTCATGTTATAAGATTACTTGAGCTGCACGCAATGTTCCGTCGAAGTCGACGAACTTAATCTCTTACTACGCTCTGATGCTCATGTTATAAGATTACCTGAGCTGCACGCAATGTTCCGTCGAAGTCGACGAACTTAATCTCTTACTACGCTCTGATGCTCATGTTATAAGATTACCTGAGCTGCACGCAATGTTCCGTCGAAGTCGACGAACTTAATCTCTTACTACGCTCTGATGCTCATGTTATAAGATTACCTGAGCTGCACGCAATGTTCCGTCGAAGTCGACGAACTTAATCTCTTACTACGCTCTGATGCTCATGTTATAAGATTACCTGAGCTGCACGCAATGTTCCGTCGAAGTCGACGAACTTAATCTCTTACTACGCTCTGATGCTCATGTTATAAGATTACTTGAGCTGCACGCAATGTTCCGTCGAAGTCGACGAACTTAATCTCTTACTACGCTCTGATGCTCATGTTATAAGATTACCTGAGCTGCACGCAATGTTCCGTCGAAGTCGACGAACTTAATCTCTTACTACGCTCTGATGCTCATGTTATAAGATTACTTGAGCTGCACGCAATGTTCCGTCGAAGTCGACGAACTTAATCTCTTACTACGCTCTGATGCTCATGTTATAAGATTACCTGAGCTGCACGCAATGTTCCGTCGAAGTCGACGAACTTAATCTCTTACTACGCTCTGATGCTCATGTTATAAGATTACTTGAGCTGCACGCAATGTTCCGTCGAAGTCGACGAACTTAATCTCTTACTACGCTCTGATGCTCATGTTATAAGATTACCTGAGCTGCACGCAATGTTCCGTCGAAGTCGACGAACTTAATCTCTTACTACGCTCTGATGCTCATGTTATAAGATTACCTGAGCTGCACGCAATGTTCCGTCGAAGTCGACGAACTTAATCTCTTACTACGCTCTGATGCTCATGTTATAAGATTACCTGAGCTGCACGCAATGTTCCGTCGAAGTCGACGAACTTAATCTCTTACTACGCTCTGATGCTCATGTTATAAGATTACCTGAGCTGCACGCAATGTTCCGTCGAAGTCGACGAACTTAATCTCTTACTACGCTCTGATGCTCATGTTATAAGATTACTTGAGCTGCACGCAATGTTCCGTCGAAGTCGACGAACTTAATCTCTTACTACGCTCTGATGCTCATGTTATAAGATTACCTGAGCTGCACGCAATGTTCCGTCGAAGTCGACGAACTTAATCTCTTACTACGCTCTGATGCTCATGTTATAAGATTACCTGAGCTGCACGCAATGTTCCGTCGAAGTCGACGAACTTAATCTCTTACTACGCTCTGATGCTCATGTTATAAGATTACCTGAGCTGCACGCAATGTTCCGTCGAAGTCGACGAACTTAATCTCTTACTACGCTCTGATGCTCATGTTATAAGATTACCTGAGCTGCACGCAATGTTCCGTCGAAGTCGACGAACTTAATCTCTTACTACCCTCTGATGCTCATGTTATAAGATTACTTGAGCTGCACGCAATGTTCCGTCGAAGTCGACGAACTTAATCTCTTACTACGCTCTGATGCTCATGTTATAAGATTACCTGAGCTGCACGCAATGTTCCGTCGAAGTCGACGAACTTAATCTCTTACTACGCTCTGATGCTCATGTTATAAGATTACCTGAGCTGCACGCAATGTTCCGTCGAAGTCGACGAACTTAATCTCTTACTACGCTCTGATGCTCATGTTATAAGATTACCTGAGCTGCACGCAATGTTCCGTCGAAGTCGACGAACTTAATCTCTTACTACGCTCTGATGCTCATGTTATAAGATTACCTGAGCTGCACGCAATGTTCCGTCGAAGTCGACGAACTTAATCTCTTACTACGCTCTGATGCTCATGTTATAAGATTACCTGAGCTGCACGCAATGTTCCGTCGAAGTCGACGAACTTAATCTCTTACTACGCTCTGATGCTCATGTTATAAGATTACCTGAGCTGCACGCAATGTTCCGTCGAAGTCGACGAACTTAATCTCTTACTACGCTCTGATGCTCATGTTATAAGATTACCTGAGCTGCACGCAATGTTCCGTCGAAGTCGACGAACTTAATCTCTTACTACGCTCTGATGCTCATGTTATAAGATTACTTGAGCTGCACGCAATGTTCCGTCGAAGTCGACGAACTTAATCTCTTACTACGCTCTGATGCTCATGTTATAAGATTACCTGAGCTGCACGCAATGTTCCGTCGAAGTCGACGAACTTAATCTCTTACTACGCTCTGATGCTCATGTTATAAGATTACCTGAGCTGCACGCAATGTTCCGTCGAAGTCGACGAACTTAATCTCTTACTACGCTCTGATGCTCATGTTATAAGATTACCTGAGCTGCACGCAATGTTCCGTCGAAGTCGACGAACTTAATCTCTTACTACGCTCTGATGCTCATGTTATAAGATTACCTGAGCTGCACGCAATGTTCCGTCGAAGTCGACGAACTTAATCTCTTACTACCCTCTGATGCTCATGTTATAAGATTACTTGAGCTGCACGCAATGTTCCGTCGAAGTCGACGAACTTAATCTCTTACTACGCTCTGATGCTCATGTTATAAGATTACCTGAGCTGCACGCAATGTTCCGTCGAAGTCGACGAACTTAATCTCTTACTACGCTCTGATGCTCATGTTATAAGATTACCTGAGCTGCACGCAATGTTCCGTCGAAGTCGACGAACTTAATCTCTTACTACGCTCTGATGCTCATGTTATAAGATTACCTGAGCTGCACGCAATGTTCCGTCGAAGTCGACGAACTTAATCTCTTACTACGCTCTGATGCTCATGTTATAAGATTACCTGAGCTGCACGCAATGTTCCGTCGAAGTCGACGAACTTAATCTCTTACTACGCTCTGATGCTCATGTTATAAGATTACCTGAGCTGCACGCAATGTTCCGTCGAAGTCGACGAACTTAATCTCTTACTACGCTCTGATGCTCATGTTATAAGATTACCTGAGCTGCACGCAATGTTCCGTCGAAGTCGACGAACTTAATCTCTTACTACGCTCTGATGCTCATGTTATAAGATTACCTGAGCTGCACGCAATGTTCCGTCGAAGTCGACGAACTTAATCTCTTACTACGCTCTGATGCTCATGTTATAAGATTACCTGAGCTGCACGCAATGTTCCGTCGAAGTCGACGAACTTAATCTCTTACTACGCTCTGATGCTCATGTTATAAGATTACCTGAGCTGCACGCAATGTTCCGTCGAAGTCGACGAACTTAATCTCTTACTACGCTCTGATGCTCATGTTATAAGATTACCTGAGCTGCACGCAATGTTCCGTCGAAGTCGACGAACTTAATCTCTTACTACGCTCTGATGCTCATGTTATAAGATTACTTGAGCTGCACGCAATGTTCCGTCGAAGTCGACGAACTTAATCTCTTACTACGCTCTGATGCTCATGTTATAAGATTACCTGAGCTGCACGCAATGTTCCGTCGAAGTCGACGAACTTAATCTCTTACTACGCTCTGATGCTCATGTTATAAGATTACCTGAGCTGCACGCAATGTTCCGTCGAAGTCGACGAACTTAATCTCTTACTACGCTCTGATGCTCATGTTATAAGATTACCTGAGCTGCACGCAATGTTCCGTCGAAGTCGACGAACTTAATCTCTTACTACGCTCTGATGCTCATGTTATAAGATTACCTGAGCTGCACGCAATGTTCCGTCGAAGTCGACGAACTTAATCTCTTACTACGCTCTGATGCTCATGTTATAAGATTACTTGAGCTGCACGCAATGTTCCGTCGAAGTCGACGAACTTAATCTCTTACTACGCTCTGATGCTCATGTTATAAGATTACCTGAGCTGCACGCAATGTTCCGTCGAAGTCGACGAACTTAATCTCTTACTACGCTCTGATGCTCATGTTATAAGATTACCTGAGCTGCACGCAATGTTCCGTCGAAGTCGACGAACTTAATCTCTTACTACGCTCTGATGCTCATGTTATAAGATTACCTGAGCTGCACGCAATGTTCCGTCGAAGTCGACGAACTTAATCTCTTACTACGCTCTGATGCTCATGTTATAAGATTACCTGAGCTGCACGCAATGTTCCGTCGAAGTCGACGAACTTAATCTCTTACTACGCTCTGATGCTCATGTTATAAGATTACTTGAGCTGCACGCAATGTTCCGTCGAAGTCGACGAACTTAATCTCTTACTACGCTCTCTAGGTTCGCACGTTTTCCATCAGGAAGGAGCACATGAATCGGAATTTCTTGTAAAAGAGAAGAGGTTCACAGGAAGGGTCACATGAGCCTCTGGCAGGGCCACTTTGGTGGGAGGTGGACGGACAGCCGAAGAGGTTGAGGTTGAGGAGGGTGGTACCGGCAGAAAAGCTCACCTGGGGAATCTCCCAGGAAGGATGGGAGGCTGAGGGCGGGGCAGATGGCCCCGCAAGCACGCACAGCAGAGTTGGTGACGAAGTTGCGGAGGTGAGGGAAGGCCGTGACCGAGAAGGGCAGGAGGAGATCCGGCCAGGGGTGGCGCACTCTGGGGGAATGGCGGGAAAGAGGAGATAGGAGGAACATATGCAGGATGGTGAGAGAGGGGTCAAGTGTAAGGCTGTCACTGAGAAGGGCAGGAGGAGGTCCGGCCAGGGGTAGCGCACTCTGGGAGGCGGCCGGGGGAGGAGAGGTGAGAGAGGCAGGAGAGGAAAGAGAGGCAGGAGAGGAAAGAGAGGCAGGAGAGGAAAGAGACGAAAAAAAAAAAAAAAAAAAAAACAAAGCAGGGAGATGGATGGGAGGGGAGGGACAAACAGCCAAGGGTAAGAGGAGATGTGGTCAATTATTTTGAGCAGCCTCGAAATGAGGTGGGTGTACAATGAGCCACACATCCAGCCACACAAGCCATACACACCCCTCAACCACCCCTCTCACAACCCACAGAACCCAATGACTAAAGCCTGCCACCCACTGCATGCATGCTTCAGCTGCTGAACCCCCAGTATGACGATATGCGGACCAAGGGGAGCGTTCTTCGCTTTCTTCCCTTTTCCTTCCTTTTGAGGCGCCTCAAAAGACATCTTACTACACGTGACACTCAATGTGACTATATGCGGGCCAAAGGAAGCCTTCTTCTCCTTCTCCACACACCCCTGGGTGCGGGCAGCAACCCAACCCCGTCAGGCACAAGCCTTGACTCACTGCGTGCTTCTGCTGCTGAATCCCCTCGTTATTGACCCCCCCAGTGTGACTATATGGAGGCCAAACGGGGCATGCTTCCCCGTCTCCGCGTGCCCCTGGTTGGCCCGCACCTGCCACTCCGCTGTGAGAGCTAGCAGTCTCAGGAACACCCGTTTCAAAGGATCCAACCCTCTCCTCGTTTCTTTCGCCGCCGCCGCTGCTGCTGCCGCCGCCTCTGGAACGGGCAATGCAAGGGAAGAGGGGTAGGGGTGGATGTGAGTCGCCCTGGTTGGCCCGCTCCTGCCACTCTGCTGTCAGTGCCAGGCTGCCAGCAGCCTCAGGCACAATCGCTTCAAAGGATACAAACCTCTGTCTCGTTCCCTCGCTGCCGCCTCTGGAGTGGGGAAAGGGAAAACAAGAGAATTAGGGGATGTGAGTCGCCCAGGTTGGCCCCTGCCGCTGCTGCCTCAGTGGAGAAGAGGCAGGGGTGCAAGAGGGGAGAGGAGAAGATGAATACACACAATACGAAGTGCCCACTCGTTGGCCCGCACCTGCCACTTCGCCGTCAGAGCCAGCCAAAGCCGATCAAGAACACTCACTTCAATGGATCCAATTCCCGCTTCCCTCTTCAGGTGAAGCTAGAGAAGAAGCTGAAAGAAAAAACACCCTAACCAGCACCTAAATGAACAACTTTCGTCTGGACTTGATAAATAAATGAATATACTTTCTAATATAAGAAGTCAAAAATGTGAGAAGTATACCTTCAGCAGCCTTGGCAGCAGCGTCGGGATCAGCAGCGCCAATAGCAGCGTCAGCAGCAGCAGCAGCAATGACGTCAGCAGGCAGCCACAGCGCCTCTGCTGCCATGCTTTCCACCACGCCCTTGCGGAACCACCGCACTGTTGGGCCAAGTAGCTCGCCTGCTGCCCACGCCTGTGAGCAGTGAAGGAGGCAAGGAGGGGAATGAGAGAGCAAGGAGTAGCCAGGTAGGCACAGCACCTCTGCTGCCATGCTTTCCACCACCCCCTTGCGGAACCACCGCACTGTGGGACCCAGAAGCTCGCCTGCTTGCCATGCCTGTCCCGAGGAGAGGAGGAAGGAGTGGGGGAGGGAGAGGATGAGAAGGGAAGGGCTTGGTGCAGTATCACTGGGAAGGAAAGCAGGCAGGAGCCCACTGCGCCTCTGCTGCCATGCTCTCCACCACGCCCTTGCAAAATAACCGCACTGTTGGGCCCAGAAGTTCACCCACTGCCCACACCTGTGAGCGATCAAGGTAAGGAAGGAGAGTGAAGAGTGGAAAGCAGGCAAGCACTGCGCCTCTGCTACCCTGCCATACTCTCAATCACTCCCCTGCAGAGCGATTGCACTGTGGGACGGGACCCAGCCATTAGCTCGCCTGCTGTCCATGCCTGTGTGTAATCATTTTTTATAGGGGGTTGCGGTAGGGGGGAATAGGAACGACTCATTTACCGTGCTGCCATGCTATCCACTCCACCACGCCTCTGCAAACCAATCGCACTGTGGGACCCACCCAGTAGCTCGTCTGCTGCCCACGCCTGGAAGGCTTCAAACATCTGCTTGTGACTCATTCTCTCCAGGGGCATGAGAGAGTGAGTGGCACAAGGAGACAAGACAACAACTGCAGCTTTCAACCGCACTACAGCGCACTGAACCGCAACACACCTCATGCGTTCTCAGAAGCCCTGCTCGTGACTCTGGAGGCAGCAGAGAGTGACACGAGCCACCTACAGCTGCTGCCGCACACCACCCAACCACACTGCACTACAGTTCACTGAACCGCATCGCATCGCACCTGCTGCACTCGGAACTGCGCCCTGAGAAGAGGATCGAACATGAGCAGTGCTCGTGACTCCGGGGTCAACAGAGAGAGCAACACAAGGCACCTACGATTACTGTACCTCTCAACCGCACTGAACCGCAACGCACCTGCTGCACTCGGAACTGCGCTCTCAGAAGAGCATCGAACATTAGTCCTGCTCGTGACTCTGGAGGCAGCAGAGAGAGCGGCGGAAGGGAGTCAACACCCGAGCTCCCTTCCCCTCCTCCGGGTTCCCCTCCTCCTACTGCTGCTACTTCTGCTTCTTCGGTTGCTGCTTCGGTTGCTGCTTCTGTGTTGGGAGCATCTGGTGGGGTGGATGGGTCAGGAGTGATGAAGTCTGACGTGTCAGTTGGCCCTCATTGGCTGGCTGGAGTAAATTCACTTTATCCATGCTGGAAAGACTTAACAGGCTCAATAAAAGCCAATTCAACATCTTGCCACATAATCTCACCTACACCCACCTACTCTCATCACATCCCACCGCATTCACCTGCCCCCATTGATTGGTCCATCGCGTTTCCACATGCGAGCCGACTCACCCGCAGGCCACGCCGTTCCTTCCAGGTCGTTCTCCGCGTCTCCCGGAGCCGTACTGCGCTCCGTCCACGCGGCATCGCGTCCGTGAACGGCGGCCACGGCGGACGAGAACGACACGTAGGACGGCGATACGCCGACGCGCACGAGCGACACGACCTCGGTGAACACGGCAAGCGCGCCGATTAGCGCAAGAACGAGCACCGGCGCTGATAGCGATCCGCTCATTCCGGGAATTTTGGAATCTTGCCGCGCCGCGCTAGGTTGCATGGTTGCTACGCGGTGATGACCTTTTTGGCACGTCAGTAGTAGTAGTTGTAAGGTGTGGATTGGAGCTAGCGGAATTTTCAGAGGATATTGCGTTGCTGGGAATTTTGTTTCTCAGAGAAAGAACATCGGATTGACTCGGTGGCATGTTTAATTGATTTCTTACATGGCTGTTTGCCTGATGTAGGGTGCAGCTGGGAGGTTTGAGCAAAAGGCGGCGTAGAAAGGGGGAATGGTGGTGATCACTGAGTGGTTGGGGGCATGGTTGTTGGACGGCATTTTAGTATGTGGTGATCAGTTAGTGGTTGTTATTATGAGCATTGCGTGATGAACTTCATTAGTGTGCGGTGGGGCGAGATCATCGGCGTTTCAAAGCGGCACGGCATTTATCTGGTTGCCGAGATTGAGTTGCATTGGTGACATCATTGTGGCCGCGTCCGCTGCTTCGTGTCAGACGAAGGTGCGGCGACACGAAGTGGTGAGCGTACCGTTCGCGATCTTCGGGGCGTCGGAATGTGTGACGATCGGGATGTTCCTCGGGCTGCGAAGTTCGAGTCCCCGCTGCGGTTTCGAGCGGCCGAAGTTTAATCCTGTGCAAACAACCACTCAACATTCGCAAGCTGTCCTGCAACGGGTAACTAAATCTGTGCGATGTTCGCGGAAGCTAAAACCCGATTTCTAAGCCGCCGTCGCTCTGGGACCTGTTTTCAAGCCCATCCATCCATCCATCCATCCATCCATCCATCCATCCATCCATCCATCCATCCATCCATCCATCCATCCATCCATCCATCCATCCATCCATCCATCCATCCATCCATCCATCCATCCATCCATCCATCCATCCATCCATCCATCCATCCATCCATCCATCCATCCATCCATCCATCCATCCATCCATCATCATCCATCCATCCATCCATCCATCCATCCATCCATCCATCCATCCATCCATCCATCCATCCATCCATCCATCCATCCATCCATCCATCCATCCATCCATCCATCCATCCATCCATCCATCCATCCATCCATCCATCCATCCATCCATCCATCCATCCATCCATCCATCCATCCATCCATCCATCCATCCATCCATCCATCCATCCATCCATCCATCCATCCATCCATCCATCCATCCATCCATCCATCCATCCATCCATCCATCCATCCATCCATCCATCCATCCATCCATCCATCCATCCATCCATCCATCCATCCATCCATCCATCCATCCATCCATCCATCCATCCATCCATCCATCCATCCATCCATCCATCCATCCATCCATCCATCCATCCATCCATCCATCCATCCATCCATCCATCCATCCATCCGCCATAGCAACATTTCTTGCAAAATCAGCATAAGATATTAGGAAAGCACCTACCCGTCCTAAAGAAGTCCTTCCCGCGTGATTTTTACTTCTCTCGCCGACCGCGGCGGCACAGCCGAGCCCGATGACTCTTTTCGTACCATGTACATTCCGTCTCTTTTATGAATAGGCGCACGTTCCGCTATCGTGCTGTTCACTTTTTGGTGCGTCTGTCTTCCCGCGCTTTGGGTATTTGGGAACAGCAGGGGATATACCCCTTTCAGTGAAAGCCAATGAATAAAATGCGACGCTATACACAAGGAATTGAGTAGCATGGAGCGGTTGCGGCTGCTCCTGCCCCTCTTGCTTGCACCTGCGGCTCTTGCGCCTGCTTGTCACGCCGCGCCCGTCGCCTTGCTCTCGTCGTCCGTTTTTCCGCTCGCCGTGCGTCCAATGCCCGTTGCCGTTCACGCTGCGACCAGCTCTCCCCTCCATCATGCATCCCCGCTGGCTCTACTCGCGCTGTGCGCGCTTCTGGCGCTGCTCGCGACGGCCATGCGCGAAACGGTTACCACTCGTCGTGACATTTCTTCTTCTCGTCGCCGTCGGTTTCGTGGCGACGCCCTTCGCTCGCCCTGCTCTCTCCAAGCTACCATCATACGACCCCTCTACCCAAGATCTGGACTTCCCAGGTACCTGGAGACGCGCGTCAGGTGATTCTTCCCAGGTACCTGGAGACGCGCGTCGTATAATTTATTCTCTTGTAACATCCCACGTACAGTTGTTGTTGTTGTTGGTGCCCTCTGCACCCAGTCTACACTGCAAAAACAAACTTCTTTTCTTCCTTTGCTCTTTTTTTCGTTCGTTCTTTCTTTTCGTTTTTCTCATCTTTCTGAAGTCACCGCATTGCACACTCTGATGTTTACCTCAATCCAATGGTTCCAACCCACCATCTCCCTCCCTTCCTCCCTCCCTTCCTCCCTCTCTCCCTCTCTCCCTTCCTCGCCAGGCCCATCCTCTCAAGACCCAATCGCCTCGGAAGCTCAGAAACCCTCCGATTCGTCCCTCCCCTCCACAGTGCAAGAATCCCCCCCTCTGGCACAGCTTGTGAATTCTCATACCACGCAACCCGCCTTCCCCCTGGCACGTGTTGAGACATCTCAGAATACAGAAACCTCCTTTGCTGTGTCATCGACCTCTGTTTCATCCAAACCTCATCCCCAGCCTCAGTCCTTGCACCAACACCAGTCTCACATCTCACTGCCTGCAGCAACTTCTGAGCCACTTCAAACGTCACTGCTTACATTACCACTTCCCCATCCCAGCCAGCAGCCTTTGCAGCAGCAGCCCAACGTCTCATCGCTTGAAGACCTTCCCGCGTTACCCCATAAGCCTTTGCCCACATTAAGCCTTTCCCATCCTAGCCAGCAGGCATGGCAGAGACACCAAGTGCAAGTTACACCACCTGAACCCGCCAACATCCATCCAAGCACAACCTCTTCCTGGCTACGTCCCTACCCGTTACCAGAAGAATCCCTTAATTCCAATCCGCTCTCTTTAACCACCCAACCCTCTCACACCCTTTCCGGCCACAGCTCAGTTGAATTGAACCCCTCGGTATTCCCACCACCTATTTCTAATGCAGTCCAGAAAGCTCACTTGCTCCCAGGTCCCTCTTCTTCCTCCTCCTCCTTGACTAACTTCAACGAGATTTCCATGGTCCCTCACAACCATCCAAATTCTTTGGTCCCCACTAGCACCATGCCTGCACCGACCCAAGATCCAGCCCACACCATGCCTGCACCGAACCTAGACCCCTCTGAAAACCCCCCTCCTGCTTCCCTCCGCATGCCCGTCAACATCTTTTTCCGAGGCGAGTTTGGGTACGAGTTGATCGCCGCCCTCCCATTCGCCTACTGGCACTATTTAAACGGCTCCTTAAACTCTACTAGGTTCTGTGCGATGCCGTCGCTCGCGCTGCTCTACTATTTCAGCCCGATCCAGACCGTCGGATGGAAGTGCAAGCGGTCCGCACACTTCAATTTTGTGATCAAGCGGTATGGGTTTAAGGAGGGTTTGCATGATAGTGAGATTCCGGATACGTGGACGGCTCCTCCTCTCGCCTCCCACATTCGGGAGCTTGGGCCGGTTTGGACTGATGTTCCTGCTGGTGCTCCTTTGGTGGTTATCAGTAACAAGTTTGAGACTGAGTGGGGTGAGCCGCCGGTTAATTTTATCGACATTCCGACGCTGAAGCGGATCATTACTGAGTTTCTCAATAGCGGGTATTATGTGGTGTATAACCGAGCGGGGAAGGCGTTTAGGACGGATCGGGAGCAGCGGGATTTGACTGGTTTAGGCGAGTATGGAATGTTCCGGGAGGAGTTCTGGCTGCAGCCTCGTTTCACTACAATGCACAAGCTTCGCAGGAGCTGCCCGGGATGTGATTATAACGAGGTGCAGTTCAGAACAATGGCGCGGAGCTCGTGCTTTATAAGTCTACAGGGCGGCACGTCAGTACTGTCGAGCTACTGGGGCGGCAGGAATATTATTTATTTTAGAAGAGGAGCAGAGGAGGCTGGTTGGGCGTATGAGAGGATCTATCCAAGGTTGTCGGGATGTCAAATAGATGTTGTGAGAAGTTATGATGCATTGACAACAAAGGTAGAGGAGATCCGTGATGGTAGATGCCAAGCTGTGTAACAAATAGGAAGCTGAATAGAGATTTTTTTAGGGTAACTTCGCAAAAGCTTGTACATGGCAACTGAAGAAGGCTCTGTTTTTCTACGAAGTGTTCATTATCGAGCAAACGTTGTCACCAAACCCGAAACCGCTCATATCCCCTCTCCCCCCCACCCTCGCACATGTCAGAGCTCACAAAACCCTAATCGCGGTTGCCAGCATGTGCAAATAAAAGAGCATAAAATCATTTGTGTCAGCTCTTGCGAAAAAAATTGCCTTGCGTCCGATGTGTATGGTTGCTCGTCTGCGTTCGTCTCCTTTGTAGCCGCCAGCGCGTCTGACCATTATTATTTCAATCTGCGTGATCATCTAGCGACCGTCTGTTCTGTTCGGCCACAATTCGTTTACAAGCACTCCTATCTGTCATCTGCAGCCTCGCCTTCCCGCGTGGCCTCCCCGTCAGCTAATAGATTTCGCGAATCTCACCTCGTCGTTGACTCCCCTTTAACCACGAAATTAGCTGCCAATAGCGGGAGTGACTATGGGGGTGCAGACCGAGGAGGCTAATCAGATGCCTCGTAGCACGCGCGTGTGCGTCAAAGGGTTGCCAGAATACGTGACGGAGGATAGACTGAGAGAGCACTTTTCCGTCAAAGGCCACGTCACCGACGCCAAGATTATGCGCACGCGGTGAGAGCGCTCCTCCCAGCCAGCACCACATAAGACGAGTCGCGAGTCGAGCCAAGACGTGTAACGCATGGCGGGGCTTACACGTAGGGTTGAGTGCCTCCGCTGCGCCTCAAATTCAGGGTTTAGGAAAAACCCACGTCACATGAGACGAGTTGCGAGTCGAGTCAAGAAGCTTCACATGACGTGGCGTGCTGGGGAATCAACTGCGGGGGAATTATGTACTGAGAAGTCAAGTGCGGGGGAATTATGTACTGAGAAGTCAAGTGCGGGGGAATTATGTACTGAGAAGTCAAGTGCGGGGGAATTATGTACTGAGAAGTCACGTGCGGGGGAATTATGTACTGAGAAGTCAAGTGCGGGGGAATTATGTACTGAGAAGTCAAGTGCGGGAGAATTATGTACTGAGAAGTCAAGTGCGGGAGAATTATGTACTGAGAAGTCAAGTGCGGGGTTCAAGTGTGGGGGAGTGAAGAGCGGGAGAAATCAGTGCGGTTGAATCAAGACGGGGAAATCATGTACGTGGGAGTCAAGTGCGGGGGAATCTAGTGCGGGGGAGTCAAGGGGGGGGGAGTCAAGTGCGGGGGATTCAAGTGCGGGAATGCTCATTCTCTCGCTTCTGCCACATCATATCGTCTCCCTTTCTCAAACTTCTCGTCTCGTCCCCCTTTTTACCCAACACCAAGGAGGGTCATCCCATCAGCATTTCAACTATTCGGTCGGAGGAATGTTGATTTCCCTTGCGCCTGCCATCTCATCCCCACTCCGTCCCTCACCGTCTTCTTCCCCCCCTTTTTCCCTCCCCACCCCCCTCCCCGCCTCCCTCCCCTTCCCCTCAACACACCGTCCTCTTCCCCCTTGTGTCCCCTCCCCTCGCCCTCCCTGCACCCACCCGGCACCCACCCCGCACCCACCCGGCACCCACCCCGCACCCACCCCGCACCCACCCCGCACCCACCCCGCACCCACCCCGCACCCACCCCGCACCCACCCCGCACCCACCCCTCACCCACCCCACACCCACCCCGCACCCTCCCCTTCCCCATCCCCTTCTCTCGCCCCCCTTGCCCTCCCCTCACCACCCGTCCCTCCTTTCCCCCCCTTTCCCCCACCAGCGACGGGCGGTCGAGGCAGTTTGGCTTTGTGGGGCTGCGATCGGAGGAGGAGGCAGCAGCGGCGATAGCCTACTTCAATCGCTCCTTCATGGACACCTTTCGCCTCACCTGCGAGGTGCGGTAACCGTGTTACACATGCTTACGTCAGTTTCTATTCACAACCTCCTTCATGAACACCTTTCGACTCACCTGCGAGGTTAATCGCTTGTTGCATAAGGTGATGAACAGGGATTTGGGTTTGCTTTTGAGTCGACTCAAAAGCATGAACAAGGCTTTGGGTTTGGGTTCTCGCTCACCCCTAGGCAGCGGTTAGGTAGGTAATAGCATGCTCTCAACCTATCATTGCTCCGTAGCAGATTCCGTCCTAGCTGCGAGGTAACTGGCCTGTTGCATATGGTTACATGGTTACCGCTGCACGCATGTAGCTTTCATAGACTTCTTTGCACCAACCCTAAACCTTAATCCCTGAACCATCTTCCTCCGCCAAATCGAATCAAAGTAGCGATGCGAACCCATTGGTCACACATCTCATGCACTAAGCAAGCATACTTTCCAATGGGTTCGCACGTGCTCGTACTGTCAGCTCATGCGTAAGAGGTGACATTCTAATCGAATCAAAAGCCAACTATCCCCATATCCACCCTCCATCCGTCATCCCCATTTCTCCCCCTTCCCTTTGCCTTCAGTTCGCAATGCCCATCTGCCACACGGCGTTGCCCCGCGCATGGAGCAAGCACACGCATGCCAAGGCGATGACGTCTGACTGTCAACTCAAAAGTCATTCCTCCGCTATTCCCCTTTCCTCCTCCATCCTCCCACCCACAGTTCGCCATGCCCATTGGTCACACGGCGTTGCCCCGCGCATGGAGCAAGCACACGCAGGCCAAGGAGACCAAGGGCGACGGAGGGACAGGCGGAAAGGGAGCGGCAGCAGAAGGAGGGGGGAAGCAAGGAGGTGTGGAGGAAGCGGCGGACGGAGGGAAAGGTGGGGAGCGTGGGGAGAGTGAGAGAGGAAAGAAAAAGACAGGGAAGGTGGTGGGAGGGGTGGCTGTGAAGCAAGCAGCGCAGGAGGATGAAGGGTTCAGAGAGTTTCTAGAGGTGATGGAGCGAGGCGGGAAGAAGAAGGTTTGGGCGAATGATACTGCGGATGGGGATGGGGGGGGAGGAGGGGGTGTGGGGAAGGGGAGGGGCGGTGGGAGTGTGAGTGGAGGTGTGGTGGAGGTGGGAAGGGGAGGGAGGAAGAGTGGGGAGGAGGCGGGAGGGGAAGAGAGTGATGATGAGTTGTATGGGGATGTGATTGTAGAGGGGGATGGGAGTGAGGAGGAGGGGGAAGAGAGGGGGGACGGAGATGGGGAGGAGGGGAGTGAGGGGGAGGAGGGAGAGGAGGGGGAGGAAGGGGAGGAAAGGGAGGAGGAGGTTTTGAGTAATCTGGATTATCTCAAGAAAAGGGTTGCTTCGAATTGGAGTGATGATGATGATGAGGAGGAGGAGGAGGGAGAGAAGGAGAAAGTGGGAGGGAGGGTGGGGAACGAGGAAGGGAGTGAGGGAGAGGAGGACGGAGACGTGGAGGAGGGGGGAGAGGGAGAAGAAGAAGAGGGGGAGGAGGAGGAGGAGGAAGGGGAGGAGAGTGAGGATGAAGAGGAAGAAGGTGAACAAAGGGAGGAACAGGAGGAAGAGGAAGAGAAAGGGGATGGTGTGGTGGATGGGGCAGCAGCGGAGGCGGGAGGGGGGCCAATGGTGGATGGAGGAGCAGCAGAGGATGTGAGGGAGACGGGCCGACTCTTCCTCCGCAACCTCTGCTACTCCGCCTCGTACGCCCCTTCTCCCTCTCTCTCCCCTCCCCTCCGCTTTCTTTGGCCTATACGCCCCTCCAAAGGAGGGGCGTATGGAGGGGCGTACTCACCGCACATGCGCATACCCACGGTTCTCCTTTCGTATCGCCAAAGGAGGTGAGCCGCGCTCACCCACGGCCGCGCCAAGCTCATCTATCTACTCGCCTCCCTTCCCCTGCGTCCATATGCATTTTCCTGCCCTGTGCTTTGCAGGGAGGATGACCTCCGTACCCTGCTCGCCCCCTATGGAACGCTAGCAGAAGTCCATTTGGTGGTGGACCACCACACCAAGCTCATCTTTTGTTCACTTTCAACCCCTCCCCTCTCCTCACAGGGAGGATGACCTCCGTACCCTGCTCGCCCCCTATGGATCGCTAGCAGAAGTCCATTTGGTGGTGGACCACCACACCAAGCTCATCTTTTGTTCACTTTCAACCCCTCCCCTCTCCTCACAGGGAGGATGACCTCCGTACCCTGCTCGCCCCCTATGGAACGCTAGCAGAAGTCCATTTGGTGGTGGACCACCACACCAAGCTCATCTTTTGTTCACTTTCAACCCCTCCCCTCTCCTCACAGGGAGGATGACCTCCGTACCCTGCTCGCCCCCTATGGAACGCTAGCAGAAGTCCATTTGGTGGTGGACCACCACACCAAGCTCATCTTTTGTTCACTTTCAACCCCTCCCCTCTCCTCACAGGGAGGATGACCTCCGTACCCTGCTCGCCCCCTATGGATCGCTAGCAGAAGTCCATTTGGTGGTGGACCACCACACCAAGCTCATCTTTTGTTCACTTTCAACCCCTCCCCTCTCCTCACAGGGAGGATGACCTCCGTACCCTGCTCGCCCCCTATGGAACGCTAGCAGAAGTCCATTTGGTGGTGGACCACCACACCAAGCTCATCTTTTGTTCACTTTCAACCCCTCCCCTCTCCTCACAGGGAGGATGACCTCCGTACCCTGCTCGCCCCCTATGGAACGCTAGCAGAAGTCCATTTGGTGGTGGACCACCACACCAAGCTCATCTTTTGTTCACTTTCAACCCCTCCCCTCTCGTCACAGGGAGGATGACCTCCGTACCCTGCTCGCCCCCTATGGATCGCTAGCAGAAGTCCATTTGGTGGTGGACCACCACACCAAGCTCATCTTTTGTTCACTTTCAACCCCTCCCCTCTCCTCACAGGGAGGATGACCTCCGTACCCTGCTCGCCCCCTATGGATCGCTAGCAGAAGTCCATTTGGTGGTGGACCACCACACCAAGCTCATCTTTTGTTCACTTTCAACCCCTCCCCTCTCCTCACAGGGAGGATGACCTCCGTACCCTGCTCGCCCCCTATGGATCGCTAGCAGAAGTCCATTTGGTGGTGGACCACCACACCAAGCTCATCTTTTGTTCACTTTCAACCCCTCCCCTCTCCTCACAGGGAGGATGACCTCCGTACCCTGCTCGCCCCCTATGGATCGCTAGCAGAAGTCCATTTGGTGGTGGACCACCACACCAAGCTCATCTTTTGTTCACTTTCAACCCCTCCCCTCTCCTCACAGGGAGGATGACCTCCGTACCCTGCTCGCCCCCTATGGAACGCTAGCAGAAGTCCATTTGGTGGTGGACCACCACACCAAGCTCATCTTTTGTTCACTTTCAACCCCTCCCCTCTCCTCACAGGGAGGATGACCTCCGTACCCTGCTCGCCCCCTATGGAACGCTAGCAGAAGTCCATTTGGTGGTGGACCACCACACCAAGCTCATCTTTTGTTCACTTTCAACCCCTCCCCTCTCGTCACAGGGAGGATGACCTCCGTACCCTGCTCGCCCCCTATGGATCGCTAGCAGAAGTCCATTTGGTGGTGGACCACCACACCAAGCTCATCTTTTGTTCACTTTCAACCCCTCCCCTCTCCTCACAGGGAGGATGACCTCCGTACCCTGCTCGCCCCCTATGGATCGCTAGCAGAAGTCCATTTGGTGGTGGACCACCACACCAAGCTCATCTTTTGTTCACTTTCAACCCCTCCCCTCTCCTCACAGGGAGGATGACCTCCGTACCCTGCTCGCCCCCTATGGATCGCTAGCAGAAGTCCATTTGGTGGTGGACCACCACACCAAGCTCATCTTTTGTTCACTTTCAACCCCTCCCCTCTCCTCACAGGGAGGATGACCTCCGTACCCTGCTCGCCCCCTATGGATCGCTAGCAGAAGTCCATTTGGTGGTGGACCACCACACCAAGCTCATCTTTTGTTCACTTTCAACCCCTCCCCTCTCCTCACAGGGAGGATGACCTCCGTACCCTGCTCGCCCCCTATGGATCGCTAGCAGAAGTCCATTTGGTGGTGGACCACCACACCAAGCTCATCTTTTGTTCACTTTCAACCCCTCCCCTCTCCTCACAGGGAGGATGACCTCCGTACCCTGCTCGCCCCCTATGGATCGCTAGCAGAAGTCCATTTGGTGGTGGACCACCACACCAAGCTCATCTTTTGTTCACTTTCAACCCCTCCCCTCTCCTCACAGGGAGGATGACCTCCGTACCCTGCTCGCCCCCTATGGAACGCTAGCAGAAGTCCATTTGGTGGTGGACCACCACACCAAGCTCATCTTTTGTTCACTTTCAACCCCTCCCCTCTCCTCACAGGGAGGATGACCTCCGTACCCTGCTCGCCCCCTATGGAACGCTAGCAGAAGTCCATTTGGTGGTGGACCACCACACCAAGCTCATCTTTTGTTCACTTTCAACCCCTCCCCTCTCCTCACAGGGAGGATGACCTCCGTACCCTGCTCGCCCCCTATGGAACGCTAGCAGAAGTCCATTTGGTGGTGGACCACCACACCAAGCTCATCTTTTGTTCACTTTCAACCCCTCCCCTCTCCTCACAGGGAGGATGACCTCCGTACCCTGCTCGCCCCCTATGGATCGCTAGCAGAAGTCCATTTGGTGGTGGACCACCACACCAAGCTCATCTTTTGTTCACTTTCAACCCCTCCCCTCTCCTCACAGGGAGGATGACCTCCGTACCCTGCTCGCCCCCTATGGAACGCTAGCAGAAGTCCATTTGGTGGTGGACCACCACACCAAGCTCATCTTTTGTTCACTTTCAACCCCTCCCCTCTCCTCACAGGGAGGATGACCTCCGTACCCTGCTCGCCCCCTATGGATCGCTAGCAGAAGTCCATTTGGTGGTGGACCACCACACCAAGCTCATCTTTTGTTCACTTTCAACCCCTCCCCTCTCCTCACAGGGAGGATGACCTCCGTACCCTGCTCGCCCCCTATGGAACGCTAGCAGAAGTCCATTTGGTGGTGGACCACCACACCAAGCTCATCTTTTGTTCACTTTCAACCCCTCCCCTCTCCTCACAGGGAGGATGACCTCCGTACCCTGCTCGCCCCCTATGGAACGCTAGCAGAAGTCCATTTGGTGGTGGACCACCACACCAAGCTCATCTTTTGTTCACTTTCAACCCCTCCCCTCTCCTCACAGGGAGGATGACCTCCGTACCCTGCTCGCCCCCTATGGATCGCTAGCAGAAGTCCATTTGGTGGTGGACCACCACACCAAGCTCATCTTTTGTTCACTTTCAACCCCTCCCCTCTCCTCACAGGGAGGATGACCTCCGTACCCTGCTCGCCCCCTATGGATCGCTAGCAGAAGTCCATTTGGTGGTGGACCACCACACCAAGCTCATCTTTTGTTCACTTTCAACCCCTCCCCTCTCCTCACAGGGAGGATGACCTCCGTACCCTGCTCGCCCCCTATGGAACGCTAGCAGAAGTCCATTTGGTGGTGGACCACCACACCAAGCTCATCTTTTGTTCACTTTCAACCCCTCCCCTCTCCTCACAGGGAGGATGACCTCCGTACCCTGCTCGCCCCCTATGGAACGCTAGCAGAAGTCCATTTGGTGGTGGACCACCACACCAAGCTCATCTTTTGTTCACTTTCAACCCCTCCCCTCTCCTCACAGGGAGGATGACCTCCGTACCCTGCTCGCCCCCTATGGATCGCTAGCAGAAGTCCATTTGGTGGTGGACCACCACACCAAGCTCATCTTTTGTTCACTTTCAACCCCTCCCCTCTCCTCACAGGGAGGATGACCTCCGTACCCTGCTCGCCCCCTATGGATCGCTAGCAGAAGTCCATTTGGTGGTGGACCACCACACCAAGCTCATCTTTTGTTCACTTTCAACCCCTCCCCTCTCCTCACAGGGAGGATGACCTCCGTACCCTGCTCGCCCCCTATGGAACGCTAGCAGAAGTCCATTTGGTGGTGGACCACCACACCAAGCTCATCTTTTGTTCACTTTCAACCCCTCCCCTCTCCTCACAGGGAGGATGACCTCCGTACCCTGCTCGCCCCCTATGGATCGCTAGCAGAAGTCCATTTGGTGGTGGACCACCACACCAAGCTCATCTTTTGTTCACTTTCAACCCCTCCCCTCTCCTCACAGGGAGGATGACCTCCGTACCCTGCTCGCCCCCTATGGATCGCTAGCAGAAGTCCATTTGGTGGTGGACCACCACACCAAGCTCATCTTTTGTTCACTTTCAACCCCTCCCCTCTCCTCACAGGGAGGATGACCTCCGTACCCTGCTCGCCCCCTATGGAACGCTAGCAGAAGTCCATTTGGTGGTGGACCACCACACCAAGCTCATCTTTTGTTCACTTTCAACCCCTCCCCTCTCCTCACAGGGAGGATGACCTCCGTACCCTGCTCGCCCCCTATGGAACGCTAGCAGAAGTCCATTTGGTGGTGGACCACCACACCAAGCTCATCTTTTGTTCACTTTCAACCCCTCCCCTCTCCTCACAGGGAGGATGACCTCCGTACCCTGCTCGCCCCCTATGGATCGCTAGCAGAAGTCCATTTGGTGGTGGACCACCACACCAAGCTCATCTTTTGTTCACTTTCAACCCCTCCCCTCTCCTCACAGGGAGGATGACCTCCGTACCCTGCTCGCCCCCTATGGATCGCTAGCAGAAGTCCATTTGGTGGTGGACCACCACACCAAGCTCATCTTTTGTTCACTTTCAACCCCTCCCCTCTCCTCACAGGGAGGATGACCTCCGTACCCTGCTCGCCCCCTATGGATCGCTAGCAGAAGTCCATTTGGTGGTGGACCACCACACCAAGCTCATCTTTTGTTCACTTTCAACCCCTCCCCTCTCCTCACAGGGAGGATGACCTCCGTACCCTGCTCGCCCCCTATGGATCGCTAGCAGAAGTCCATTTGGTGGTGGACCACCACACCAAGCTCATCTTTTGTTCACTTTCAACCCCTCCCCTCTCCTCACAGGGAGGATGACCTCCGTACCCTGCTCGCCCCCTATGGAACGCTAGCAGAAGTCCATTTGGTGGTGGACCACCACACCAAGCTCATCTTTTGTTCACTTTCAACCCCTCCCCTCTCCTCACAGGGAGGATGACCTCCGTACCCTGCTCGCCCCCTATGGAACGCTAGCAGAAGTCCATTTGGTGGTGGACCACCACACCAAGCTCAT